GGCTTAGAGCAAGGCTGAGAGGCCTTTTTGATAAGGTGCTGACAGAAGCAACCTGGGGCTATAACCAAGGGGACGGTCACCTGTTGTTTGATCTTTCCTGAGCTCAAGGAAGTAGGAATCATGCTTCCTATAAATAAACATGTTTGCTTGAAATATCTGACTGCGTCGCCTCTCCTCATAACTAGAACATCCTCTAAATGTTGACCAAATGTTCAGATCAATGTTATGTTAGGACCACAATAGGTGTGGTTTCCAAAAAAATATGCTCTATTACTTGAACTCAGGGATTAATTTGTGGAGGTCTTATAGTCCGTTTTCTTCAGGTGGTCACAGCGCTTTCTGGCCTTAAAATTAGAGTAGTGGGGAATATTTGGATGAAAGAGATGCAACAGATGTATGTCCGTCTATGTTAGCTGATCAACATGGAAGCTTTTTGCAGGAACATGCCTGCCATCCTCAGAGGAAAAGTTTCTTGGATTCAGGGGGGGGAGTTTATGCTCAAACAAACAAAAACATTTCACAATAGCCATTAAGCCAGTGGTCAAGACAATCACCTGGAATGAGGACAACCCAAATCCCAGTTCTTGCTGGGCCCAGTTCAGTCCAGAAACCTGAATCATGGGGATAGAAATCTGCCTTATATTCTAACATTTGTTGAGTTAGAACGTTGCATTATGGCGATTACATCATACTTGGCAACCAATAGACGCATGGTATCACTCATAATTGCATAAAGATTTTACATCTTTCATTCCATGAGGTGTTATCAACTGCAGGGCTGTTTCAGGCTATGGGCAGACCTAATATCTTCTGTAAAAGGGGTAATATATACTTCTGTAATATATGCCGTTACACTGAGACTGCTGCATGTGCATGCTCTAGTAGTATAACACGTTAGCTACATCTCTGTAACTCTTAACCCTGTATCCTTGCAGAAGCACATGGATGTGAAAATGTCATAAAGCAGAGGTTCCTGAACTTTTCTTACTTTACCAGCAGCCCACGTATCCCTTCCAGCATACATTTTATATTTTAACCCCTTAAGTGCTGCTGATGATTATGATGATGATGATTATTTTTATTATAATGAAAATTAAATTTGCCACTATACAATTTCTCCCACATACTCCCCAGAGGTGCCTTGCATATCCCCAGGGGTATGCATACCACAGTTTGGGAACCTCTATCATAGATCAATGAAAAAGCAAATTAACTTTCAGATTTACTGTTTGCGTCAAGTCACGTAAGAGTATTTGTATGAATGTGTATGTGTTTAAAAAACAAAAAGACTTGATTACATTCTCACTATTTTAGTTTTTTGTGTAGTGCATTAGTACTCACATTGTTACCTATGATTAGTGTCATAGGTAACAATATGAGAAATTGGGCAACATCTAAAATAGTTGCATTTTTGTTCCCCTAAATGATGCAAGGAAAAACATGTATTGATTGGGTGTTACCTTGTAAAATATTAACTATAACATAGATGAAACTATTGATTTGGCAGGGAATGGTCTGGAATTGGAATTTGAAAAGTCAAATTCCTTACAGCTGTCTAGTAAAACAAGAGTACAAATTCCCTTCTCAATGTACTGAACACAACATTTGTCTTCCTGAAGCAAGATTTATTATGGACTATTAAATGCCCTCACTGGGCTTTACATTTGGAACTCTGAAAAGTAAACATGGGGTGAACAAAGGCTCCCCTAATTCCTCTAGGGGCATTTAGATGGAAACACTTCATCAAGCTGCTCTTTTACAGTACGTGCATTATTTGTTTTCTCCTTAGCCGGCTACTTAAGCTGTCTAGGTAGAGTAAGTCTGGGCAGAGCTGAGCTGGCTCCATTCCTCTTAAAAGTCACTTTTCTGGTGTTTGCTGATTTCTGGGTTTCTCCTCTTATGTCTTGTTCTCCTAGCACTCACAACAGTGAGCTAAGGAGAGTACTGTGTTTTAGGTTTCTTTTCTTCCCCTCCCCTCGTCTCCTTCCCCCCACCTGCACCCCCAGTTTAGGGGAACGTTGTTGAATGACTTAAAGGCATTGTGCAACTCAACGTTAAGGATGAGTTTAAGGATAACCCTGACTAATCAATGTAATAAAGATGTAGGCTGCAAAACTCATATGCATGTGTGCTCCCCATGACTTCATAGAGGTATGCTGCAAACAGGCAGAAGGAGAGAATTTTGTTATTAGTCTTCTGTGCCTTAGGGAGGGTTGCAGCAGCCGCATGTAATATTATTTCTTAGCTGTACATGCAATGCATTTTACCCCCTGGTCTCAATGCACTTTGCAGCAGAAGTTGGATTATTCTCCCCATTTTGCAGATTGGGTACTTGAGGGACAGGGCAGTGAGGAGAATTGCTCAGTAAGTGACAAAGCCAGGAAAAGAGCAGATGTTGTCTGGGTCCCAGCTCTGTGCTCTATCCACTAGAACACATTAAGCTGAATATGACAGCTGTTGTTGTGTGGAATGAAGAGCCACCATGAAAACTCAGGGTTTCCTGAGTGCAGTTCAGGTGGTATCTGTGCTGTATAGGTAAAGCATGCACATGAATTACACCAGGCACAGTTAATATGACAAATTCCACTTTTCCTGTCAAGCCTATAATAAAGGATAGAGCTAATCTGCATTTGTGTTGTAATGGATAAAAAATCAGTAGCCCTGCTTGAAGTTCATTGCTAATACAGGGATTACCTAAAACCAAGATAATTTCCTCACCCACAGAGCCAACCATGGGTGCCTACAGATGTTTGGGGTGCCACTCTAACTCATGGCACTTTACATAAAGTGCCATGAGTTAGATCCCCACCCTGCCCCGACCCAATAGACATATAGACATTCGCCTGTTGGGTCAAGGGGCCTGGAGCCTGTCTGCACCAGCCCTGCCCAGTAGGTGGGGGTGCTCCAGCAGCTTCCTTGGAGACTGCTGGACCACCCCTCTCCCCAGTGCCTCCCCCACATCCCCCCCACTGGCTCTGGGGCTGTCAGCAGAGGAGGGAGGGAGAAGGGGTCAGTGGCACAGAGCTGCTAGCTGCTTTTGATTGGCCAGAGCTGTGGGGGGAGGGGGGGAGGGTGGAACAGAGCCCTCTTGCATCGTGGGCCTGGTCTGGCTCCCCCCATTACCCCAGTTGGGGTATTTTGGAGGAGCCCTTGAGGTGAGGGGGCCCCGTTCTACCTCTTCCCCCCAGCTCTGGCCATTCAGAAGTAGGCAAGTAGCTCCCTGCTTCTGCTTCCTCTCCCTCCTTTCCTGACAGTCGTGGGGGCAAGCGTCGGCCCAGCCACACCCTGGCACAAAAAATTACTCCTGGAGGGACACAAGTTCCCTAAGATGTTTTGTTTAGAGTGCCTTCATGTAATATTTCATTTGAACAGGGTTAATTTTTTGCATGCTTGTCCATTTTAAAAGCTCTCTGCAGCTGTGCATAAGTTTAGTCACGGCTGTAGAGTGCTTTCAGGGGCCTGATCCTATGGCAAATGTCACTGGCATAAGCCTCTGCTCAGTTCATGTCTCACCTTCCAGGTCTGCTTACCTTTATTTCTTCTTTCCATACTCACCCTTCTGCTGTCTGTGTGCATATACACAGATATGCCTGGGCAGGAAGAATGTGTGCTTCCACCAACACTACTCTGTTTGCACCTCTCTCATGGTTGGGGTAGAAGGCCAGCATCCTCCAGCAGCAAAATATATGGACAAACCAACTGATGCAATAGGACATATTATTGAGGAAAAGGGTATCATCCTACCTCTGCCTCCTACCCTTGAAAAATCCTTGCCATTTAGAACAATCTAAATTCCCAAACTACACAGCAAAAACTTTTAACAGTATTTTTATAAGCCCCAGGACAGGGGTACCTTCTCCTTGGCAAGCGGGACTGAGAATTATCCATAGAGGAAGTGAAGTCTGTCAAAGGCAGGAACCCATCCCAATGCACTCTCCAACCTACTGAAAGTATATTCCATAAGCTGAAAATCTCCTCCCTATTCATACTGCACTTCCTAGACTGGATCATTGTTTCCCAGTAAGGCATTGTGTGGCCCATTTGTGGGGGCTGATAACGCATGGATGTTGGGAGAATGCTGTCTTATTAACAATGTAAGAGCATGCACTCGAGAGAATCTCGTGGCTGCCAGAAGCAATGCGGGCACTGAGTGCCCTTGGTAGCTGCTTAATCTCTTCATTTCTTGCCAGTAATTTTTATTTCTCTCTCTAGCATAAGTGATGTCTGAAATCCTGTGGAAGATTTTTCAAGTAGGGTAAATTGGGGGTGGAAGATTGGCAAAATAGGACTGAAGAAAAAGGCTTGAGGCATTTGGCTAAACCTGTCACTGTTTTCAAACAAAGATCTGTTTCCTTCTGCATCTATATTGGCCACAACTGTAATGTTGAGTTACCCTCTTGAAGATTTGGCTATAAGGAACTCTCCCAATGTAGGATGATGGCATGGTTTGCAGTACACATCACTGTTCTCAGTAGAGAGTTCATGACAAAAATGCTCCAAACAAAATAACATCAGAGCTAATCATGTATGGCCTCTGCATTGACCAGTATGCCAGGTGTCTGTACTGTGCCCTTTGCTTTATTGAGGGTAATGCTGTTGAAGTGAGTTGCTGTGTGGAACTAAACCTGTTTGCATTTCCAACTTAAGTTGCTCCTTTGTGGGTATACCCCAGGGGTGGGCAAAATGTGGCCTATGGGTCAGATGCAGCCCGCCAGGCCATTTTTTCTGGCCCGCGGGGCCCCTAAAAATTTTAGAAAATTAGTATTTATCAGCCCCTGGCTGCCCCATGCAGCCCTTGATGGCTTGCCAAAACTCAGTAAGTGGCCCTCCACCCAAAATAATTGCCTGCCCCTGGTGGTACCCTGTATGTGTTTGATCTGTAACACATCATCCAGACCTGAGTCTGTCAGAATAATGTGGTCTTGGAGTGTGGTGTGTGCATGAAAATTAATACTGAAATTGAATCAGCCGTGCTTTTATGCTTCATGGATTCCTTACAGAACTACGCACAGTATGTATCATGCTCTGACGTATGCCACCATGCTGGAAATGCAAGCTATGATGACCTTTGACCCTCAAGACATAGTGAATGCAGGAAACACAATGAAAGAAGCTCAAGCCACCTGTCAAAAGTAAGTACAAAAAGGTGCATTGACAAGCAGAACCATCTCTCAAGTACTGAAATGTGTAAATGAGCATGGGCATGTCATGGGTTTCTTCCTGTTGGAAACTAGAACACAAGGGGAAGTGTTTAGGTGGCTGCATGAAAGGGTGTACACCTGCTATTAGTGCCTTTGCTTGTTAAAGCCAATATACCTCTGCCCTGTTGCTGAACTTCGTCTATCTCTTTGTCCTCGTTCATTTATGTTTCTTTCTCTCTAGTCATGTTTCCTTAACACTGACAAAGATGTTGCTCTAGTAATAAATGTAAGTGATATTAATTGTGGATTCCAAGCCAAACCGCAGTGAATAGCTGACTGTAACTAATTAATTTGGTAATAAACAATTGACACACAAGATTTCTGAACTCCTTCAGGGAGTAGGAATGTCCTACCCTGCTGTTTTGAAACAAGGTTTGCATAGCACTGTACTATAGCATAGCACTATAGGCCAGTACACACTGATGAACAACATCCTTCAGGCTAGCTCTAGAACAGGTCATCTGTTTGAATGTAGCTTGTCTGTAAATGTGCAGGTGCTGTTTTGGTAACACAGGCTAATTTCAGGTTTTACAAGAAAAATGATGAATGGGAAGCATAGCAAATTATTGCCAAATAACTTACTGTTTTCTTAATACTCCATTATTTGCACAATCTTTGCAGTATCATATCATATTTGTTATGTCAGTGAAGGGAATTAAGAAAAGTCCGGAGTTTAATTACCTCTTCAGGCACCTACCATGGCTCAAACAAGGGGCAAGGACGTAAATGACATCAGATGTCTGAGATTCAGATCAGCCTGCTGGCCAGCATCTTAAAAGGCCTTGCATGGTAGGGATAAACATAAAGTCCTTTCTTCTTGGGCTTTAGCCAGTATGCTGTGGTTTTGGGAGTGTATCGAGTCCTTCATGCTGTGGTCCGTTATTTGGACTAGTGAGCACCTTCTATGGTGGAATTGAGAAACACTGGCACTCTTTTGAAAGCCACTGTTTGGCCACGTGCTTCTGAAACATTGTTTTGGTCACAGACAGGCTCCCAGTTAGCATCTATCTCTACACTCTCTTTTTTTGGGAAGAATATTGAGAAGGCTGTAGCAAGGTAATAAAAATTACCAGATTTCCTGTTCAAACTATCTTTGAGATCAATTCTGCAAGGTACTGAATCCTCTTGAGGAAACTGCAGAACTTTTCATATTTGATAGAAATTTCATTATAACTGAAACAACGTTGAACTCCTCTTTTCCCCTATGCAGAAACAGTCAAGCAAAAAACCCTACTCCATGGTTTCTTTGTGTGCATAAAGGAAAAGAAACAGATTCCCATGAAGTCCACTAAGGACTTCTTTTCTCAGGCTTCTACATGGAAGGCACCCAGATACCCAGCGAATGACAGCAGAACAGTGCCCATGTATTGATAGCCCTACCTCATCAGTAGTGTGATTGATGTCACTGTGTTTGTAGAATAAGGTGATAGTCAACACCTGTGAATTTCTGGCCCATTTGAGCAGATGTCCAAGACTGATGTTTTTATTGTCATGGCTACAGCTAAAAGTGTGTTACATAAGGGTGAAAAAAAGAAATACCTGAGAAGACTAGTTGTGCTGGAAGATGTGAATGTTGTGGGATATGCACTATTTATAACACTTTTGACATCTTCTGTTTCATGTCTCCGCATTTCTGATGCAATTTACAACATAAAAGATGGACATGGCCATGGTTTGTGTGGGCTGGAGATCTGTTTGGGGCTGAATGCTATAGTTTTCCTGTGACTGCTTTGTGTTGAGAATGGTCCAAATTTTATTTTTCTTTAGGTTTCGGAAGAAATCCACTGTAGCGGATTCCTTTAACAACCTTGTACATAGACAGAATCTCGAACACTTTACCGAAGGTAATGTCGCCTCTGGTTCAGATCATGCTGCTTTTTTCTGTGCCTTTCACTGGCAGGAGTATGCAGGCCTGCACACTATATACTGATTCAGTGGGGTGGGGAGGTTGGGAGTCTTTTTTAAGCATTTGTCAAAGGACACCTTGGGCTTTGTTGGCATTCAAGGGTGATGGGTTTGACCTTTGGAGGTAGAGTGCCCCTCTCTGCAGTACCGTCAAAGCCAAAATCAGTGGAGGTAGCTGATCTGGAACATCCCAGATTTCATTGAGAAGCATCTGCTGGCACCTTTTTCTCCACAAGCCTCCCTCAGCTGTTAGCTGACAGGATTCCTAGGTCTGTTCATCTTTCACTCATGCGGCAAAGCCCATCGTACCTTTGCAGATACACAGAGGTGGAGTGACTCAGTGTAGTTTGCTGCCAGGAATTGTAATTACACTGTTTGATGTGACTGGTTTCAGGGAGTGAGAGCCTTGTGGGATGGGCACCACATGCATTTAAATAAATATGTCCATAAACAACTAACCTGATTTGCATATGGGCAACTTGGTCCATCTGGTACTAGACTGAGTTTAAAAGACTATGTAGTATTAGTAATATCTTTAATGCAGATGAGTCATGGGTTGGTACACAACTGGATTAAATGAACTATGGTCATGTGACTAGAAGGATAGTATTATAGCTCATCAGATGAAGGGGCAATACTGCTAAATAGTTTTTGTCTCATGATGTTGTTTTTCATGGTGCTGAGTTGTAATTGGTTACAGAAGCAGTGTGTATTAGAAGCAGCATGTATATGTATTCCAAGTAATTTAGATAAACACTCCACACAATACTTTGCCTTGCTAATCATTTGCTGAAGAGGATCTTATGACCCTGTCTTGGGAATTGACTGTAAAGTTTGGGAGTTGAAGATTAGTTGCTATATTGACAACCCAAAATATACAACTATCAGGACACGGGCATTGAAAAATCATGAGATTGGCAAAGAAAAAAATTGCAACCTTTAGAAAAATCTGTTAATATTGGGGCTCTTTTTATTTGTGTTGTAGCTTCTGAGTCAATAGAGGGACCCTGCCCCCATCATGTTTTCAGACTTCTCCATAACAAGGGCTAGAAATATTGGGGATGCCATAAAGGGACTGCAAAGGCCAACTCCTCCTCCTCAAATGTACTGTATAAATGTGCTAGTAAGACAACACGGAATACTTTTAATGTTAATACTAAATGATACATCTTCAGAAAGCCACAGAACTGTTTTAGAAATTTCTGTTTTTGTGTGATGCCCAGTTTCTCAGTGTTCACGTACAGTGCAGCGTTCATATGCAATTCTTGTGTACTTATTAAAATTTCATCCTGTTATCTTTCTCATAATGGCATTTAGCATGTGTGACGGGAGTACTACTATCGGAGCCTCTCCGGGTGTGGCCCTGCCCTCCTGTAATGGGCCAACCGCCTGCTTACTTTCCTGCCATGCCTTGATCTTATTCGATTAATAGATTATTGTAATCAGCGGGAGGCTGCCCATTTCTACGCACCCAGTGACAGGGGGCGCTACCTGCGGCTCCTTTTCCTCCCCTACACTGCAGCCCAAGCCTTGCAGATGGTGCTGATGTGATCTGACCAGGGCCCTGTTATGTCTTGGCCCCCCTCTTGCTCTCAGGGCTCCTCGCCACCCCCCCTCTCGCTCTTGGGCTGGGGCCAACGCACCCCAAAGATGCTGTGCCCTCTCAGGCGCCAGGACCCCCACGCTACTGTGGAGTCGCTATGAGGCCTCCTCCAACCCCTAATAGCCTCACCCGGTCCTCCGGTAAACAGTAAACACAAAGCACAAAGCCCCTGGGCTATAACGTGAAGCTAAACCGTCTGGTCAAACAACATTTGATCCCTACCGGGAAAATACTCCAGCCCATGGCAGCAACCAGTGGATACTCACGCATTCACTCCTTGCCCTTCTCCCTGCACTGGCTGAGCTCCCCACTCTTTGGCTGCCAGAGGGGAACTGCCACCCTGGCCTCCTGCCTGGGTTTAAGAAGGGCTAAGCCTTGCCCCTTCCTGTCAGCAGGTTTCCCTGGTTGCCCCAGTAACCAGCACCTGTGCTGCCCTGGTGACTGGCAGCTGCGCCTCCCCCTTCTCACTGCTAGGGGCCTCTCTTGAGCCGTCCCTGTTCTCAGGCGCAGGGCATCTAAGTGCTCTGTGATGGCATGCATAACACTTTGGATTTCCAGAGCATTAACATTAAGTAATCCTCACAATGTCCCTGTGAGGCAAGTAAATGGCGAGATCCTTATTTTACAGGTTGAGAACTAAAGCACTGAAACTAAATGACTGTACAAAGAGTGGTATCAGGATTAGAAGTCAGGAAGGGCCAAGCAAGCTTTCCTTCCTGGTGTGGGAGGTCACACTTGCCGGGGTCAGAGAACAGCTTAGTCTATTTAGGTCCCAGGTGAGCAAACCATTTAATTGAACAGATGAGCATTTCTGTCCCTATGAAGTACTGTATTAAAACATGTGTTGCAAGGCTTTGACAAATAGGGACGGGATCCCTCATTTGCTTTAAAGGAAGTACTTAAGTGTTTTGTTGAATTGAGGCTGTAGGCCATGGGCTCATGTACATGCCATGATTTTTGCCCTTTCGTGCACTGTAACTGCGTGTCTGTTTGCACAAGCGGGATTTCCCGATGCTTTAAAAGTGTTTCTTGTGCATTAAACTAAAACTCCTTGGATATAGTTTAGTTTGGCTTGCTGGGAATTCGTGTCACGTCTATGGAATTGTTGCATGCAAACACAAAGGCACTTAAACTCTGCGTGCAGATGAAATGAGAGGCATGTGTGTATGACAATTTAAAGCGAGCTAAGTGCTTTTGCACAGCTTTAATGGTGTCAGTGTTTTCATGCCTCAGTGGCTCATGCGTTCCAGCTGCTGTAGGAAATTTAGCAGTGTAACGTGCCTTAAATGACTTGGGGTGCAGCAAACTAAGACTCCTTTGAGGAGTTTGTTTGCTGCCCCTATAGCCACGAAGCGAAGTACCAGGCTCCATGCATCTCCATGTCTCTGCAGCAAGCCCTGCAAGCAGCCTGGCAGCAACCCGGGAAAGCAGGCTCTGCTCAAGAAAAGCGATGAGCCTGATCTTTTTTTTCTTCCCTGGAGCCTGCCAGTCTGCCTGAGTTGCGTGGGGGCTTGATGCTTCCCTCTGTGGCTGCAGTGCCCCCCAGGGCTGCCCGAGCCAGGTGCCTGCAGGCGGGTGCTGTCTGGGGGTGGTGTGCTGCTACCACGGAGAAAAGCACCAGCCCCCTCCACCCCCACCCCCCCACAGCCCAGCGACTGCTTTGCCCACCAGCAGCTCACCCTCCCCCCTGTCCCCAAAGAAGCAGGTAAGTCTGTGGGGTATGTACATGACACGGGGGTTTAATCAGCCCTAAATTGAAGCAGTGTTTTTGAAATCCTACTGCTTCAATTTAGGATCTCTGTTTTGTCTACGCATGCCCAAAGACGTATAATTAATCTCTTTGTTCACCAGATAGTGTTGCGACTTATTTGTAGCTCACCACTTCAGATTGTTTTTGCTTTTGAATTGCTTCTACTTTCTTTGTGTGGCTTTTTCTTTTTTTTTCTTGATTGCCAGCTCCCTGCTTCCACAGCTGCATGGCAGGACATGGGATGGGTGGGGGGCCCAGGCCACAGGGGTGGGCAGCACTGAACCATCCTGCTCTCCTGTGGCACCAGCCAGGGACCCAGCTTAATTCGTTTGAAAATCTAGTGCATGTAAACATAGATGTGACGCTCCAAAATAAACAAGTTTAAATTATAAACCTATTTAATGAGGATCAAAACCCGTGTTGTGTACAGATGCCCCCAGATGCATGTTACAGAGGTATTTAGTTACTTAATGTACATAGATTTAATTGTACATAGGACTTAGGCATCTAAATACCTTTAAGAATCTGGATGTTAGCTCTAAATTCTCTGCTAAGACTCTTCAATTCATACTGAGGGTCAGTGTAAGATGAAGATATCATCAGGTTCTGGGCCAGTCCTTTCATACAGCTGTCAAACAGCCAGCTGGTAGCCATTTTGTGCAACTGCTGCTTGGGGTTAGTTTGGTAATTTAGAACTGACAGATGTTGTGATCGGGGTTTTGCTCACTTGTTGCTCTTTATACTATTATAATATTTCTTTAATTTCCAGTCTGGTTTTTTTCTCCTCCTCCCTTCCCATTAGAGGAAATCCACGCAGAAATTTGTTATGCTGAATGTTTACTTCAGAGAGCTGCCCTGACATTCCTGCAGGTACAGTATTGCCAGTCATAGCTCTTTCATGAATGGAGGTTTCTGTGATTAAACTGGATAGTGGTACAGACCCAGACAAGAGACCCTGGCTTGCTGCACTGGTCCATGGTTCTTGCACATCAGTGTAGGAATGTGCAGACGGAGCAGCATTCACTGGGAGCCCTTTTGGATGACTGTGTTTTGCTGCTGTACAGCCACTTGAACAAGGTTGGTAGTGGTCCCTGAGAGGGTGTTAGATGCCTGGTTCCACGGCTTCTCTTTACTAAATAATGCTGATTGTTGTGAGGGAGGAGAAAACACTCTCTCCTACTTTTACCACAGTTCTGCTTGGATTATTGGAGCTTAGCTTGCCATGTGAGAGAACAGCAGCAGCTGTTACCTGGACTTTGGCCTCTGGGTAGAGCAGGCTAAAGGGAGTCTGGATACCAGGTTTCCATTCCTGACTTGGTTGCTACTCACTGTGTGGCATAATCTCTCTGCCTGTTTATCTGCAAAGAGAGAATTGTAAAACTTTCCCAGCTATGCAAAAGGAACTGAAAGCCTTGGCTGAAATGTGCTTTCCTGTATGAAATACTGGTGTTAGTTCTTGTCTTTTGTGGCAGGATCGTTCACTGCAGCTTTTTGTCTGAAGCTGTGTATGGTTCTTTGTAAAACCACTCATGAGAAAATTAAGAGCAAGGGACAGAAAGACCGTCCAGCTCTTATGTTCCTTCTCCCTCTTCTGCTTTGTTTACATTTTTCATGAATGCACAAAATAGTTTTCAATATTAAATCAAGGCACTTTAAATCTTACAGTTGCCAACAGCTTCTGAAGTTGGTTCTTTCTGGTGTTTATTGAAAGTGACTAACGCCCTATATAGATCAGCCCTGGACCTTCCTTAGGAGGTGAATGTTTTCATTGTATTGGTTATTGCTGTTCCTGGTAGATGTGACCCTTTCTGAATTTTGGGGCTGAAATTGAACTAAACATAACGTTTTTAAACCCCCCACCAACATCAAAGGAAATAACTGCCTTTAAGCAGAAATATTCCAGGTATTAGTATGTGACACACCATGAAATCCTGCAGTTTAATGATGGAAACAGGTCTTTTGCTTCCTTTGGTGGGAAGGGCTGGTCCCCCAACCCCTTAAATTGCAGAGCTGCTGGTTTATATAGAGGTACATCCATTTATGCCTCATGTTCCACAACAAGAAGTAAAACTCTGCCTATTCTTTCTTTCTATTACAGTGGTTTGGTGCTTGCTACTTCCCATTAGTGATAAATAAGGACAGAAGCTGGGCAGCCAACAAGTTTCATATGCGTTAATGCAATATCTAACCTACATTGTTTTTATGGCTCTCCTACACACTTTAAGAGTTAGACCTGATAGAGAGCAAACCCTGCTTACCTTCTGTTTCTCAGGACAGAAAATGTCGTCATGCACAGTTCCATGCAGTGAGCTGCCTATATCTGGTGGTGAGCCAGAGGTAGCCTGACTCTTACCTGTGGTGAAGGATAAATCTATTTTCTCTCTAATTTTTAAAACAACCACAACCTGCCACAGATCAGGTTCATGCCTGTCTCTCCTTCAGGAGAGGTAACCACAGTGAACTGCAGAGGATCTGGGTCCCCCAGTCATTGCAGCCCGTCTTTATTTAAGCTGAGACTTCTGTATGGACTCAGGTCCCAAGGGTCAGAGAAACCAATGAAGATATTATACATCAAAAAATTTAAACTGATATTGGTAAAATGCGTTTTAATTAGAAAAGCGCTCCTAATCTTAGCCGGCTACTGCTCCATAGAAACTTGTCTCATCCTGAGTTCTTTTGTTCCCAATCCTGTACTGTATTGTTCTAATAATAAGTCTGGCTTTTTTTTTACCCTCAGAAAATACCATAAAGATCACACTTGAGTTATATATGAGGTTGTCATATGATTGGGTCAGTACAGTACTATTGTGTGGAACAGACAACCCTGTGTAGCAGCATTAAAAGCCAGCATGGGGTCACCTATTCTTCTACGAATAAAGCTACCAAGCAGGATAATTTGTTCTGTCATGGTAGCAGTGGGTTGGTGGTCCCAGCTTGGACAGGAAGGGCTGCAACAGTTGGGGAACCCCAATTGTCACCTTGTGCAATTCCAGGGATTTATGTGGTCCCCTCCCCGGTGGGGAGGCAGGCTCTAATCCTCCCTTCAGAAGCTAGGAGTTCAGAAGCCCTAAGAGGTTGGTGATAAATTGAGGCGCCCAGACCTATGGCTTTTGTTAGAAGCTGCTGGTGTTTCCCTGGAAATTGGTCAAAACTCAGAGTAAAACATTTTAGATTGAACAAATTAGCATTTTTTGACAAAAAAAAAAAAAAGATTGTTGGCCAAACACACCAGATCCCACCCACTTTCCCCTTCTTCACATGGCCCTAAAACTTTGGAAAATTAGGATTTTGGACACCTGAAAAAGGGCTTGGATTCAGGTTTAGTTCTTCAGGTCATATGAAGTTTGAATTCAGAGTGGCCGTTGTGGTCTTGCCTTTTCACAAGGTCCTCTCTTTGTTGGCCAGTTTTCATTTAACTAAAATATTTGTCCTTCCCTGTACTGACATGGGATTTTAGACTGAAGATGACATGGTGAGTCTTAAGCAGAACTGTTTCTGCTGCAGAGGATGGATTTTTTAAAAATAATTTTAATGCATTTAACCCTTTGGGTTCTTTACAGTCAAAGAAAAAGCAATTTTTCTAAAATTCTGGGGAATTTGATGTCAACTTCTGTGCAGCATCAGAATAACATGGTTTTGATCTCCAGAAAGTAAATGACCACAGACTGAGTGCTGATGTATTTCCCTTTCAATAGGATGAGAACATGGTTAGTTTTATCAAAGGAGGCATCAGAGTCAGAAACAGCTATCAGACTTACCGGTAAGTAGATCTAAATGATCTGATGCAGTAAAAAGGCTTTGATATAAAGGTTTCCAGAAAATTAGATTGTCTTACTTATTAATGATAGTTCATGGAAAGTTTCCAAAAGCTAGGGGCATGAATAATTTGCAGTCCACATATATTGGGTTCCTTGCTCTCTGGAGTCCAGTTTGGGAGAACCTGGACCTCAATCTGATTTGTGCTGTGCATGAAGCAGGCAGTGAGCAGGTAGACGCTGTGTGTACAGCTTGAACAGTCAGTCCTAAATTCAAACACAAGAATTCTTGACACCATGTTGTTGTTTTGAACTAGCCAAACGATTCATATCTTCTGTACTGCTGTTTTGTATACTGCTCCTTGTGCTTTCATATGCAAAGAACAAACATGTACTTTGAGTCTGAATGACTCCTTTAGATGAAAGAAAAAGCAATCTGGCACAAAAAAAAAAATGCCCATCACAGGACTCAGTATGTGTATTCTCTGTAACGTGTTGCATCATTGCCTCCTCTCAGAAGAGCCGAGAGCAGTCCAAGCGGTAGTGAAGAAGCAGCCATAACGGCAACATTCATCACATTGTGGATTTTTCCTTTTTAAAGCATCTGTTACAGCACTTTGCAAGCTAACAGTTACTTTGTTGATAAGAATACTGCCTCAGGCTGCTAACCTGGTGCCTCTTTTATTTTTGCAAGTACCTGAAATATTCTCATCTGTTCATGTAGCCATAATCCCAAAATATTTCCAGGAATTGCGTGTGATAATTCATCCTCTGAAGTGTAATGATCACTGTGCACTTTACTGTTCGCTTATCTAGGTGAGATGAGGGATTATTGTTTTGTGTGTAATAGTTATGTACTTCAAAACAAATGAGCAGTTTTCTTAGTGTATCATAAAGCTACCCAGGTCATCTGTGTTTTCCTTACTATTATGTAATGCAGTTTTTCTGTATCATCAGGGAACTAGACAATCTCATACAGTCTCCAAACTATGTGAAAGGAAAACACCATCTCCATTTTGAGGGAGGTGTGAAACTTGGAGTTGGAGCCTTTAACTTGGTATGTAAGAAACATTCTTCACTTGGGCCGTAATACTGCAAACACCTGCTTAACTTAAAATATCTGAGTAGCTCCAATGAGGACAAGTTGCATGTCTAAAATGAGGAAAGTGAGTAAGTACTTGCAGCACAATGTACTAACAGGACTCAGAAACATCAAGGTGAACGAATGGCATATAGAAAGAGATGGGGAGGAATTCTTGTGCTCCTGCTTTCAGTTCACACAGTGCAAGCATCCCTTTGCTTCTGTCTGGAGCCCTACTCACTTCACAGAGCCTGTGCAAATGCTAGAGTGCAGGATTTGAGCCCATGCTAGCACAGCAGGGAGGACTAAATAACATCATAATGGCAATTTGAGTTGCTGTATCTGTGGTCAGAATCTGGACTGTAAAAACAGCTAATCACAGTTCATGCTTCATGTGAGAGCTCTGAGATGGTTATAATATTGAAAACTTTTACAAAAGCTGTCTGGCTGAGGTGGGGTAGAGGGGAATAGGCATGGTGTGCTTGTTTTAATCATTTTGATGTGCTTCTACATTCTGTTTGCACCCCAGAGGAGAAGTGAAAGCACCAGAAAGTGTGAGAGAGGATGTTTTTACTGCTGGTGTTTTTAAACAGGGCCAAGGCAGGAAGTATCAGGTGCTCCATGTGCAGAGGCTGGTTTTGATCCTCTGTGCATTCAGCCTGGGTTACAGAAAAGTATTACATACACTTCTAAACCTTTGCAGTTTGCAGAGTGTGATTGGCCACAGCTAAGAACAGTCCCAGTAGAAACTAGGTGATCATGTGTGAACTGTGCTTTTGTAGTGTGAAATTGTATAGCTGACTCTTTCTGTAGCATACCCTTCAGAGTCTTCTGCCCATAATGTGTGTGTGCGTCTGACTCTTAAGAAGGAAAGTGATAAACCAGGGGCCGATTTGTATGGATCTGGCCTGTTGGATTACCTGTGGGCTATGGGAAGTGGAGGACATTGCTTGCTATAAAATCTGTGGCCTCTGCTCTCTGGTGGACATGGCCATTGGCCGCAGGAGGGCAAGCGAGGGCTGTGCTGACACAGTCTCACTTGCCTTGCTGCCACTCAGCCCATTGCTGCTTGTTCTAGTGCCCCTCCCTGCCCCAGGACAGATCTGACTTGTGAAGGAGCCCCATTATCCAGACCAGGCACTGGGCATGGGGTAAGTTTGACACCCCTGTTATAAACTATGAAGGTGCTTATTGCTAGCTATTAATGCTGCTTCACTCTAATTTAACACCAGGACTATAGTGTAATACACTTACTAGACTGAAAATGCAGCCCAAACATTCTCTGCCACTTCTTGTTCATAAACTTAGTTTGTCCAAGGAAATATTTGCTAATGCAGACAGTTTATAATCTTTTCAGTTGTGCTAGCAGAAAAAGCAACCTTCTTGATATGCTTGAATAGCTTGCTCACTTATCCTGTACCAGGAAGAAAAGCTTTTGTAGATGTTTACTTGTTTAGTTAGTTTTAGGAATCAATACTTACTGTACATGCAGTGGTATAACAGGATCTGAATCTGTGTCAAGTGAATCTATATCTTTTGTATACTTTTAATATAGTGTCAGTTTTGGAGGTTTCCACAAGGTGGGCCCCATGCTAATTCATTGAGGTTTCTCAATGTAGTAAGAACTATGCCCATTTATAACATCACCCCCTTATTTTGTTCTAACAGCAGGAGTTCTTTTGTGACACAGTCAAATAGAATCTAAAAACAGATCCATGTGTTGAAGAGATAACAAATATCCTGCTTGGTGGCTCCAGCAAATATTTAAATTCTGTGATTGTTCCTTAAATAATTAGGACAGTATGAAATGCAACAGCTAGAATTACCCAGAGCTGCAGTTGGTTTTATGTACAGGGAAAAAAAAATCACCTATTTATTGCAGTAATGAGGCTGGTAATTCTGCCTAAACTTTGAGCATACATAGAGTATAGCTAATAGCTGAGAGAGGCCCAGGAAAACTTGGGGAGATACTAAGATTTTTTTTTAATAATTTTTATTTATTGTCTCCTGGGTTTAGAAAGGTCATTTCATGCATCTTAGGACTAGGAGACAAAAAGATGCCAAGAGCATCCTCAACTGACTCGTGTTTCTTTCCACAGACATTATCCATGTTTCCTGCAAGGATTCTGCGACTACTGGAATTTGTTGGGTTTTCTGGAAACAAGGTAAATCTGACTGTCACTCAATGTACTGTAGTAAGTGTAGGTGCCTCATAAGAGCTGGAATGTCCCTCCCAGCACTTTGTTTTAAAAAGAACCTCCTCCCTCCTTCCTCACTTTGGCCCCAACAATCAGCAGCCTTAGTATTGGAGTCAGTGCAACTCAAGGAATTTTTTAGGTGATTTCTTTGTTGCATTTGCAAATTAAGGATGCTGGCAGTGTACTTGGAAGACACAGACAGATGAGAGGCAGCAGCACGTGGTACCATAGAGAGATGATTGCTGTTTATTGTCTGGACTATAGTTGTGCTTAGAAGCTACAGTTAAATCTTCATTTTACTTTTGATCCTCCTTTATTAAATCATCTCATATAATAAAAGAAAGGAGAGAGCCTTAGATTTCATTTCATTCTTTTTTCTATGCCTTTAATAGCTGCTACAAATTTTAACAGAGCACCTCAGTTTTTTCCAAAGGAGCTACCCAAGAGTAGGAGGCCTGGCATGCATTGGGTGTGCATGAGGGGAGGAAGGGAGGGGGAGGGTTGGTAGTGAAGGACCTGGAATCCTTAGATTCTGGTGGACTTGAGCAAGTCTACAGGGAGGGCTTAGAGGTGCATTTTTGTTGCTTTGGTTTTGTGGGGGCCTGGTATCCCAATGCAAGATATGAGTAGTTACTCATATCCCATGGAGGAAGAGTTGGGCCCTGGCACCAGTTCATTCCAAGTATTCAGTCAAAGCTGGAGCCTTAGAGTGGAATTTTGTGGCAGGCTGCACCTGTGATTCCCTCTGTAATGCCAGTTCTGGGGAAAAATCTGTTTTACTCATCTATTCTACAAAGCTAAACCAGCATTCTCAACCTTCTTAAATTCAAGACAGCCCTTGGAAAATGCCAGCTCTTAGACCCCTGCTACTCATTGCGTATATTAGGTAATTAACTGGTTAATTGCACAATAAATGTTGACCAGCCACATATGCAAAGTAACACTGGCCACAAGAGCAAAGTAATTATCACACTGTAAAAATTAATACCCAGCTCTAAAAAGAGCCAGCCAGCTATGAAGTTAGTCCTTGACATGTGTAACAACTCTATAGCTGCTTTCTAACCAGCTTTAATTTGAACATGTAGCAGATCCCTTAGTTTTCACTTGTTTTTGGATAGAGCAATTTTTCTGTTGCAAAGAAGTCACACCACAACAAGTTAAAACGTTTTCAACACTATGGATTACGATGAAATCTCTAGTTTTATTTTCTGAATCATGTTTGCCTATCTCACAGTGCTAACATTGCACTGCACCTTGCAATACCTTTCAAAGAATCTCGCGGCACCCCAGGCTGCTGTGACACCCTGGTTAAGAATCACTTGGCTAAGCAAAGGAGTATTTATACCAGTTTTCATTTACAAAATCCTTTGCAAGGATTACGTCGTTAATCTGCACAGCATCCCTGTGAGACATGTATGGATCATCTTATTTCACTGGTGAACTTGAAAAAGCTGAGGTCTGGAAGTTAAATGTCTTGCTTAAGACTAGGGGCGTGGGTTGTAGCCATGTTGCTTAAGACCAGAGAGTTTATGATCCAGCACAGGTGAGAACTTGAGTTCCTGGCTCCCTGGATAAGATCTCTAATTAGTCAGTTTTACCTGCCTGTTCTCCTAGCCAGAAGAAGCAAAAATTAGTTAGTTCTACATGTCTGCTAAAGACTGGTAGCAACTAAAAAAGAAGAGTCCAACTTAGAAAAAGTAAGTAAAAGATCTTTTTAAAGCAGCCATTTAGCTTCCTATTGCTGCTAAAAACTTCCCCTAATCCCCACTTTTTGGGGTTATTCTCTCCTTCTGTGTTCTCTCCAGGCCCTGGAATTTTTGGGGGGCTGAGAGTGGGCTGGTGTCCCTTAGGTCAGTGACTCGGGTCCTGTTCCAGATTTTTCACTAGCAGATTGAAACATATTGTAGATTACCATAAATATAAGGAAAGATTTCCTGTCTGAAGTACCTTTCAAAAGAAAGGAGAGTCTTTTCTTCAGCAGTTCACTGAACAGAGTTCAAGTATTTGGTAGTCATTCAGAGGAATACTTTAAGGCAATCTTGCGTTACTTAGAGCTGTGAGCTGCTGGCCTGGAACTGAGAGTAGAATTGCAATTACATTTGTAATCACATCTCAAGTGTCAGGTTTCCACAGTTCAGCAAGATCAAAATGCCCCCTGGAGCAGACACAAGAGATTTCAAGATATGGGAAATAGAGAGGAGGAGACTGACAAAACCTGCGTAAAACTTGAGGCATCACTGTTGAGAGAGAAGAAATTTTGAGGCCTGCAGTGTTTTGACCACACAATAATGATGGGGAGGAGAATGGTTGTTGAATGCTGACACTGTGCTTGGTGCTGTGTAAGAAACTGAAGGAGGCACAGCCAGCTCCTTGAACAACTGAGTCCAGTTTGACAGACAACAGACATCATCCCATGGTTGCCCAGGAGACTTTGAGGTGCTTCATTCTTAGTGCTGGTGCTGCTCATTTATAATAATAATAACCACTATATAGGTTGTTATATGGACTGTGGAAAGACATTCATACCTAAAGCTGTTGTATTAGGGCTGTGTTGGCCAGTCCCCTGATGCAAAGCTATCCTGAAGCCAGCAGATGTGACTCTTTGGAGAATACTCCTGTATAGGACTGTCAGTAGGTACTTGGCATCACCCCTGATGTCTGCTAGTGTATGGGGATAAGCTTAGGACTCCTCTGCATCTGAGGCGCTGGGCAGTTCTTTGGGGCAGTTGGCAGCCAGTTCAACATAGAGTCACTCTTTAGATGTGCTAAAGGGGGTCTCAGGATGATAAATCGACATAGGATCAAGAGAGCACACAGAGGGCTTGAAGATGCTTAGATTCTCTTAATATGCCAAGGTCTGCCACGTGCTTTTCTGCCACAGTCCAGAAGCCTAGGCCTTTGCTTCATACCTTCTGTGTAAAACTTTGTTATGATAAGGGCTAGTTACGCTTAATAGACATGGCCCTGCATTGTGAGGCTGGGACTTGGTGCATAGGAGCCGTGCATCAGCAAATTCCTTCTGGGGTCCGGATGGATGTACACAGCCATGAAAGCTACACTGTACTTTCAGTGGGTTTCCCTGTATGCCTAGCAGTAGTTGGGGGAAGAGTTGTTACCATCTGCACTTCTCTTTGCACCTGATGCTGAATTTAGCCTTGCCTCAGTGTCAGTACAGAACAGCATCTACACCACAATAGGCAGAGGTTCAAGGGCTCAAATCTTCTTGAGCATATCTGCAGTTTTCCAACCTGCCCCAGTAGGGCCAGCCACAATCTGGGACTCTCACACAAGTTGCCTTAATTTTTGCTGGGAGCTTTTACTGAACTGAAGAGACAGAAGATACCTGCTAAACTGTAGTAAAGTTTGCTGTTAATCCTCCATATCTTAAATGCAGCTGGCACTGGTTTGGAATTCAGCATTATTTCTGTGGAAAGCAGGAAATTATTCTGATAGTACCATTTAAAAAGAAATTGGGTTTCCTTGATATAGGGAGACATTTGTTCCAAATCAGCTGTGCTGAACAGCAGTTTTGACGTATGTCTCAATTAGCAGTTAATTGAATTTCCATCTGCCATCGCAAATCCTTCTGCCTGGCATTTTCCTCTCGTCTTCAAGCGTTAAATGAAAGTTAACTCTAAAATGATGTCATGTAACACATTAGAGTGCCCTAACTGCTCTCTGCCTATCTTAATCACATCTTCCTGTTAAATTAATAGAAGTATTCCCCTTAATTGCTGACGTGGCCAAGTCATGAGACAAGAAAGACATCTCTGTCTTGCTTTCTTGCTGAAGAACCTTAATTTAAAAAATGTGATTAAAAATTGTTCAGGCAGTTTCACTTCAGAGAGGCAGATGCATTTAACTTATATTCATGACTGAAATAGCCACCAACTGTTTGGAGGTTTTGCCTTGATATAATTTTTCCACCCCATATGGTATGTTTCTGTGAATCTTGAAACTTGAATCAAATAATACAATTCAGGTAGCTAATAAGAAGAATCTGAGCACTTGAATATTAATTTCCTCTTAATTTGTCTGACCAAACGGGGATCTAGAAGAGCATTGGCTAGCATGTTGAAATGACACAGGAACATGGGGTATCTATACATGTGCTCCAGGGTTGGGGAGAGTGCATTTTAATTGGAGCGGCTTCCGGACAGCGGCTTTAATTAAAATGTCCCAGCGCCACATGTATTCAGCATCCTGCGTTTCAAAAGGGCTGTGGGTATGCTTGAACTAAAGCTTGTTCAACAAGTTTTAAAGTGCTCCCACCACCATTTTGAAACCTAGGATGCTGAATACATGTGACGCTGCAGGATGCTCAGTTAATGAAGTCTGTACCAATGAATTCTAATTAGAAAACACTGGAGCCCATGTATAGCTACCCATAATGTTTGCCGTACTGGATCCAAGCATTTATATCTCGTGTAAGTTATGTCATTCCTTGCAGCATTGACCAGTGCCTGATACTCTACAGTTCATTGGAAACACATGTGCAGAACAGAAATATTTGTTAAATACTGAAGGATTTTTTTGCATTGTTACCAAAAATATTTACTATCTCTGTTGAGTTACAAGCCAAGATTATTACTAAGATTTCTTTGCTTTCTAATAATACTTAAGAAGCTTTCTCTTTTCTGCCCATAGCCTTGCCAGCCATGGATTTTTCCAATGTCTTTAGATTTCCTTATCGGTTTTCTTCACTCCAGAACTTCTCATTTATATTATCCCTATATGTATTCATGTAATGAATCATAAAAAATTAGGGTTGGAAAGGACCTCAAGAGGCCATCTTGTACAACCCCCTGCTCAAAGCAGGGCCACCCCAACTATATCATCCCTGCCAAGGCCTTGTCTGCCTGGGTCTTAAAAATCTGTAAGGATGGGGAGTCAGTCTCTCTGGGTAGCTTGTTCCAGTGCTTCATTATCCTCCTAGTGCAGGGGCAGGCAATTATTTTGGCTGGAGGACAGTTTAATGAGTTTTGGTGAGATGTCAAGGGGCTGCAAAGGTAGCCCCACCCCTTGACAGGTGCCCTGTCTCCTGGTTGCCATCTTGGGACCTGAAGTCCACCATTCAGTAAGGGACCCACATTTTCCTTGACCTTCCTCTTGTTTCTGACATACTTTTAGAGACCCTTCTTGTTACCCTTCGTGTCCCTTGCTAGTTGTAACTTCTCGTGCACTTTGGCCTTCCTGATTTCAACCCTGCGTGCCTAGGCAATACTTTTATACTCCCTCCTTGTTGTTTGTCTAACTTTCCATTTCTTCCTAGGTTCCTTTTTGTGTTTTATCTCATTGAAGAGTCCCCTGCTAAGCCAAACTGGTCTTCTGCCATACTTGTTAGTCTTCCTGCATATTGGGATGGTTTGTTGCTGCGCCCTCAGTAAAGTTTCCTGAAAATACAAGCAGTTCTCCTAGACTCCTTTCCCCTTCAGATGGCCTCTGAGTGGATGATGCTCATCAGTTACCCAAGTCAAAGTCTGCTTTCCTGAACTTCAGGGTCTTTACTTACTCTGCTGCTCTCCTTCCTTCTTTCCCTCAGGATCCTGAACTCAATCATCTCATGGTCGGTGCTGCCTAAGTTCCCATCCACTACGTTTCCCGCCAATTCTTCCCTGTTTGTGAGCAGCAGATTAAGAACAGCATGGCCCCTAGTTGGCTTTTCCAACATTTGCACCAGGAAGTTGTCCCCAGCACTTTCCAAAACTTCTTGGATTGCCCGCGCGCTGCTGTATTGCTCTCCCGGCAGATGTCAGGGCAATTGAAATGCCCCATGAGAACCAGGGCCTGTGATCTGGAAACTTCTGTGAGCTGTTTGAAGAAAGCCTCCTCCATTTCCATCCTTCTGGTCCAGTGGTCTATAGCAGACATCCACCACAATATCACTCTTGTTGCTCTCCCCTCTGACCCTAACCTAGAGATTTTCAACAGGCCTGTCTTCAGCTTCATACTGGGGCTCTGAGCAATCATGCAACTTTTACATAAAGCTCAACTCCTCTTCTCCCCTGCCTATTCTTCTTGAACAGTTTATACCTATTCATGACAATACTTCAGTCACGTGAGCTATCTCACCAAGTGTTATTCCAGTCACGTCCTAATTCTGTGACTGTGCAAGCATTTGCATTTCTTCCTGCTTGTTTACCAGGCTCCATGCATTCCTGTACAGACACCTGAAGTAACTAACCAAATAGTGTTCTTGCTAACATTTGCTTTACTCTGGTTGCAGATTCTAGGATGTGTTGGTGGCGAGCTACTGGTTTATTTCCAGATGACGCTACAGAGACTAAATACGTACGAAAATACTACTGGCACTTCATGATAACCCTTTGTTTTCTTAATTTAATTTTTGCACAGGAACATGGGCTGTTGCAGCTTCAAGAAGGAGCATCCATGTACAGCTTTAGGTCGGTGATGTGTACAATGTTGCTGCTGTGCTATCATACTTTCATGACCTTTGTGTTGGGTAAGATTAGTTACAAAAACTCTATGATATTCCTTTTATATGATTAATTGTAGCGGGACACAAAGGGGAACAGAATTTTACATTGCAAATTTGCTGGGGAATTGGACAGGTGACACTGAGGTAGAGGAGGAAGGTGGTTTGGTTGGGTTGGAGTTCATAAGAAATACTCGGACTTTCCTCAGTGCATTATTTTGGAAGTTAAAAAATAGTATCTTTAAATGATGGTACACTGCATTCTCTGTTCATGTTAATTTATCATCTGGGTATCCTCAGGGTGGAATGCCTCTAGAGCCTTCTTTAACTAGGTCTCCTTGGTCTAGGTCTAGGCAAGATTACTACCAGTTTTTAGAATAATTGCTAAATGACCTGGAAAATTATGTTGTCAGGTATCCATCCTCTGACCCTTCACCACAGCAAGTCATTCAGTGTGGCCAAGAAGAAACCTGTTCTGTTCTATGCCAGTCCACATGGTCATCTGTTTTCAGAAGACTGCCATAGCATAAGGAATTGGTTTGGGTCAGAATCAGATCCTACCCAGTCTTACTTTCCTCCCTTTTTTCTCTGTCCTTCACAGAATTGGGTTTCTTAAGGGCTTAGGATGATGCAAACATATAACATGTTACATACAGCAGACTTCTGTCTGCATTTGTAATGGCTTTGTGTAAGGAGCCCCATTATACCCCTTCTGATCTATCAAAGGTGGTACAGAATAAAGTCCTGTATTTGCACATAAATGCTACTTCTTGATAAGAACTTAGTCATTGGCCATATGATGGTAGCACCACACCCTTCTTTGTCATTAGTTGCATGTCTTTTACTCCATTTAGGGACAGGGAAAGGAAACATTGAAGAGGCAGAAAGACTGCTCAAGCCTTACCTGGCTCGTTACCCAAAAGTAAGATGAATCTTAACTTAGTCTGCCTTTTGTACCCATTTAACAGCTTGTTGTTGAATAAACTGTATAGTTGGCACGAAATTGTTAAAAGCCTTTTTCCCCCCTGTGCTTATTACAGGGAGCCATCTTCCTATTTTTTGCAGGCAGGATAGAAACACTAAAAGGAAATATTGATACGGTGAGTAACACTTTCCCTGTGGACACAAAACCTTGCTAGCTTTAAATCTTCAATAACAATGTTTCTTGGTAGAGTTATGAAATCTGGCTGTGATTTTCAGAAATAGTAACCCAGAGTTAGATTCTTGAAGCCATACTTGGCTGCCTGCCTGTCTCCCATTGCTGAGCAGCTCACAGCTCTCCTTGACCTCAGTGGAAGCTAGTGGGTATTCAGCCCTTTGGAAAATCTGGAAGAGGCCTAAATATGGGGCTAGGAGCTTGAATTTCTTTTTCATATTTTAAAATGTTCCCAGTATGGTGTCTGCTATAATCTGCTTACTCAGTGCTTTTAACACTTCTCATCACTGTGGTGGTGCTTTTCTTAAAGCTCCATCTCCTGGAAATGTGTGAGAGAATCTCAACTTCCCTTCCAAAAAGAAAAAAAAGGCAAACTTGCATAACCCTTCTGACAATGGAGAAACTAGAAGGTAAATTAAAATAGCACCATATTTAGTAAATTTCTTTAATGAAAGAGTTTTTAAGCCAACCCTTGACTCATGATTTGTTGAGTGTCTGGGACTGGCGATGAAGCCAGTGTTGTACTTAATGAACTGGAAATCAAAAAACCATCCCTGAAGAAACAGCAAATTCTTAGACAGGAATAGGTGGAGGAGAAGGTTTTGCTTCAAAAAATCAGTTCACATGGTTTGCCTCTTACTGCAGTGGCATAGTTCAACTATTTATTACAGTGAATTTCCAAGTGCCACTGTCTTTCCAGCAGCAGAGGAGCCCGAAGTAAAATAGTTTAGGGTCTGAACTTCATAGCTGGCCCTTTCATCCAAGCTGGACAAAACTGAACTGTATAATCAATTTCCCTGAACTGTTAGCAAAACCTGTCCCTGTCTCGGACTCTTTGTGGCTTGGGTCCATCTTTAATTTGCAGCTCATAAATACAAACCGGGAATTTTATTCTGATGTTGGCTTTGAATGGCTTGACTAATTGCTTTCAATTAACTGAATTGAGCAAAAAAGAATAACCATCTGTGATTTGTTTAATAACTTAATTTGAATAATTTATTGGAGTTCAATATTTTTGACTTAATATTTCTCAAAATTACCCAAAATCAAGCAAAATCCATTTGAAGTTGTGTTCTTGTGCTGGTCCCCCACGGTGATGTGTGCTCTCTAAGAATCCTTGTTGTTGCTGTGATGAAAAGCATGCCAGAAGCATTGACCTAGAATGAAGCATTTTAGTTGAACAGCAGCTGACTAAATGTATCTCAGACAATGCAGTTCCTGATTTAATTAAACTGTTTGGTAACTCAGCAGAAATTCTACCAGCTACAGATGACTTTTGGCTGCAGAACTGGTGTCAAACAGTTGTGCCTGCTTTTGAACAGTAG